AAAAAAAAAAAAAAGAAAAACAGATGACATAACATACCCAGCTGGGTACTCTGTTCTACATCCTTCAATATTCTGTTAGCAGTACCTGTTATTTGCTTTTTAGTCTCCAAGTCTCTAGTTTGCTTCAACACCTGGAGCAGCCGAGGTACCCCGTTGAGTTCAGCGACCTCCAACTTGTTGTCATTGTCTTCAAATACCAAGTTTCGCAGGGCCCCACACACGGCTCGCTGAACATCTTCATTCTGAACTTTTAGGAGCTGCAGAAGCTTGGGGATGCCACGAAGCTGATTAACCTGGGGAAGAAGCAGATGTGTATTTCAGATATTTATTCTGATGTAGCATTAAAGACATTTGTTGTAATATGAATGAACAGATGAAGTTCACTAATGTCAAGTAGAGTCCCCATCAGACAGTAACTGGGACACAACCTGAGGCTCACTGCATACAATATACACCTGCTATAAGGCAGTGCCTGCCTCTCTTGGAGGAGCTAACAATAAATGTGAGAAGATTGAAACCTATGAAAAAATTGAAGGGGAAAGTAAAGTGATAGGTGGGTAAGTGACAGTTAAGTGGACAGAAAGAGTTAAGCTATAAAAGTCTTGAGCATACAGGTCATGTTCTCACGGTTTGTGGGTTCAAGCCTCATGTCGGGCTCTGGGCTGACAGCTCAGAACCTGGAGCCTGTTTGGATTCTGTGTCTCCTCTTTCTCCGTCCCTCCCCCACTCACGCTCTGTCTCACTCTCTCTCTCAAAAATAAATAAACGTTAAAAAAAAAAATTTTTTTTTAAAGTCTTGAGCATAATGAAGATGAACAGAGCTGGAATGAGAGGAGTAAGGAGTTTTATAGAAGAACAGCACAATTATATGAACATTTCATTTTTTTTTTTCCAGGACAGAACTTTACAGTCAATATAAATGGACAGATCTCATCATCAATGGTAGAAATAAAGATTCATTTACCATGGCACTGGTAGTAGCAATGCAAACTAATCCTAAATGCCAGCTATTTTTATGATCAATTGTTTAGGGTATTTAAAAAGCTTCATATAAAAATTATGCAAGCTTCTTAATTTAAGTAAATAACGTAACTTTACACTTTTGATATGTTATTTAAATTTTTTTAAATGTTTTTATTTATTTTTAAGATAGAGAGAGACACAGCATGAGCAGGGGAGGGGCAGAGAGAGAGGGAGACACAGAATCTGAAGCAGTCTCCAGGCTCTGAGCTGTCAGCACAGAGCCTGATGAGGGGCTCGAACTCACAGACTGTGAGATGATGACCTGAGCTGAAGTCAGACGCTTCACCAACTGAGCCACCCAGGCACCCCTTGATATGCTATTTAAAAAATATCTCTCGGGGCACCTGGGTGGCTCAGTTGGTTAAGTGTCCCACTTTGGCTCGGGTCATGATCTCGCAGTTTGTGAGTTCAAGCCCCATGTCAGTCTCTGTGTTGACAGCTTGCTCAGAGCCTGGAGGCTGCTCCAGATTCTGTCTCCCTTTCTCTCTGCCCCTCCCCCATTCACACTCCGTCTCTCTCTCTCTCAAAAATAAACATTAAAAAAATAAAAATAAAAAAAATTAAAAAAAATAGAAAATATCTCTCCCATCCAAATATGCAAGAAAGGGCATGCTGTCTATTAGAGAAAGGGTTAGCACTAGGAAAAGAAGAATATAAATAGATGGTTTAGATTCTGAAATGTATGGCTGTTCAAGAAAAGGTCAAATCATGGCAATATGAGCAATGTGATACTTTAGGCTGCAAATATTATCTAAAGAAGTCAAGAGGTGGACGTGGGGTGGCTGAAGCAAAATGTTAAGTTGTAGACTGAGGGCTTTTCCTTCTCATGGGCTTCCACTGGCATCTGATGCAGAAATTTTAAATTAGTAAGAACTTCTGGTAAAGATGTCAGTCATTTTCACCATCTTAATGCAGAAATTTTTAGGAAACACTTATTGTTGTGAATGGGCAGGAGGTTCCCTTTCAGCTGAAGTTCATCACTTATGAATGATGCCCTAACTGCTTCACAGTTCATGCTCTGGCGCCCAGTAATACCTTTTCATATTTTCTATGTATCATCAAATTTCAGCTTCCCTTTCATAAACAGATAAATGAGATTTAAGACATAATCTTCCAATCTTACATCTTTCTTTGTTAGGACTGGGAGAAGACTAGCAAGGCAAGAATCAAAGTCAAAGTTTAAAAATAATAACAATAATAATAATAATAATAATAATAATAAAACACAGATAATGACTCTCCCACCCACTTCTACCATTAGAAGGTGTTGGCATAGTGTTAAGAGTTTCATTTATGTTATCTAATTAATAGCTTGTTGAGAACCTTATGAGAGAAGTACTCTTTTGGTCTCTTTGAGGCTTCACTAGTAATAATGAGGAATAATACTTCCACTTACAACTCACTTCAGAGGAGACATGTGCAGAACAGGGCACGACTGGTAAACTGGCCACAGCAATTTTGTTGGGCTACGTCTACAGCCATTCTAATATATTTGCACAAAAATGCTACTGATAAAGATTTCTTAGCTGTCAATTAATTCTGGTCCAGTAGATCATCTACTTGATCACTTCCTCTATTCCCATTACTACACTTCCTTAAGAGCAGAAAGGCACATTTTAAATTGTTTATAATTCACAGGTTTCTCCAATTCCATCAATTTCTATTTCATAGTTAGGTTTTAAGTTGGTTAAATGTACACTCCACAAACTTCATAAATGCCAGCTATACTAAATCTTCACAGTAGCTGTAGAAGCATCAGATGCAGAAAGAAAATCCTGTTTGTCCTGAAGGTATTTTGTGAGCTTTAGAAATATTTTATTGCTTGATTTATAACTCCTAAGTGGCCTTCTTCAAAATATGATGGGATGTGGCTTACCGGTCATATTGCATTTCCAGATGCGATGATAGAATCAGTGAGAAGTGGCGTGTGGAACTGGACTCGGGGGCTTGGACAGCCGGCTTTGCTTACCCTGTCACCTTCACCCCTTGGGCTTTCAGCACTTGCTCCAGCCCAGAAAGAAGGCATTGTGGACACACCATGCTCAGACAAATGTAGAAATCTGCTACAGCTGTAGTCACTGTTGAATTTGACGCCCTAGTGTCTGGCACCTCTCCCAAATTTATAAATAGACTTAGGTTACTTTTATCCATCTTGTTAAGCAGATTGATACGAAATCAATACCAAATGCATTATTTTTAATGTCTATTTTTGAGAGAAAGAAAGAGCACGAGCAGGAGAGAGACAGAGAGAGAGGGAGACACAGAATCTGAAGCAGGCTCCCGGCGCTGAGCTGTCAGCACAGAGCCTGATGCGGGGCTCGAACCCGTGAACTGTGAGATCATAACTTGAGCCGAAGTCAGTGGCTTAACTGACTGAGCCACCCAGGCGCTCCAGATCCTGTACACGTCAGAACCAACACCAGATGTACTGTCTTTGTCCCTTCACATTCAGGGAAGCAGATGGGATGAGAGAGGTGGCATGTATTTCCCAGTTATACTGAATCCTCAGGGGATTTGTTCTCCCTTTGGGAAAAGGAAAGAAGAAACAGACTAACATGACTATCTCAGAACTTCAAAAGACCTTTCATTTGAGATGGTTTCTAAATATATGGAAGGGCTCTATTCTGATTCTTCTTCCTGTCAACTATAAAATAAATGATGAGGATTCTGGTGGCAAATAAGCGGAAGGAACAGACTGACTCCTTTGGGGCAAGGGCTCCCTTGTGCCCTGGTGCCCTTGCTCTCACTTCCTTCCCGTTGGGAATGCTCCGACCACTCTGCCTCACTTCTGGCAAAGCCCTGCTCATCTTGCATGAGCTGGCTCAAATGTCACCACCTCTGTGAAATGTCACTCCCCTTTTCTCTTTTCCTTCCCATTAGACCTAATCACTCCATGAAAATTGGTATAACCTTTCAGGAAGGCAATCAGCAGTAAGTGTCAAAAACTTCAAAAATATTCTCTTCTAATAACCTTCATTAGGATAGAATTTGAAATGCACACACATGTAATTGTAAGTACAGTATTTATTTAATTTTTAATAAAATTTATTTATTTTTGAGAGAGCGAGAGCCTGCACAAACAGGGGAGGGGCAGAGCGAGGGAGGGAGGGAGGGAAGGAGGGAAGGAGAGGAGGAGGGGGGAGAGAGGGGGAGAGAGAGAGAGAGAGAGAGAGAGAGAGAGAGAGAGAGAGAATGAATGAATGAATGAGAATATCTCAGGCAGGCTCTGTGCTGAGTGTGGAGCCTGGCATGGGGCTCGAACCCACGAACCATGAGATCAAGACATGAGCCAAAATCAAGAGTTGGATGCTTAACTAACTGAGCCACCCAAGCACTCTGTGACTATAGTATTTATAAAAGGGAAAAATTTGAAACCATAAATGTCCAACAACAGGGGAAGACTAGTTAATGATTGTCACAATCCACACAGATTGAAGTTTCCATGGGAGAGGCAGAGTAATGTTAGAACTGACAGATATTTTTGGTCATTACAGTTCCCTCACCAGTCAAATGGAGATTATCTAAGATTAACAATCTCCATGTTAGGTACATAGTACTCACTCAACACATGGTAGCTAGTGCATCACCATTAATATGCCACCATTAATACGAGGTATGCAAAATATTGCTAATGTTATGAGAAAATGCTTATTGTACAGTGTTACTAGAAAAAATGTATAAAATATCTATGTATTTCCACTCAAACACAGACATAAAGAAGGCAATGAATTTAGGGAGTTTGGGAGAAATGATGGGCATATAAATTATGAAAGTTGCTTGTTATTTTGTATTTTTTT